TTGTCATTAAACAAGATCTCCATGAAATCTAGCTATAGCTGATATCCATAGCTACTTCTAGATCTACATCATCATCTATATTTGTATCATCATTTATAGCTCTACCCAGCGCTGGGGATGTAGCTCAGTAGTCAAGTGCTGGCCTACCATACGTGAGGCTGGGTTCAATCCCAACCACTGCAAAGATGAAAAAATGTGTGGGTAGGCATATGTACACAGATAGGTGTATGTGTATATATAGATACAGATATGTATGTATATTTATATATATATATATATATATACATATACATATATATAGATACACTTATACATACCTATTGATATTTACATTTATATATCTACATTTATTTCTGTATCTATGTCTACCTATCTACATGTTTACCAACTTCTATCTAGCTAGTTTTCTACATTTTACCTATTTAATATTTCATTAGGTCTTGAGACTGCAGACGTGTAGCTAATTTAATAAGTACATTTTATTTCTATGCAAAATGCTAGTAGACTTGGAGGAGAGAGTTAAGCGCTATCCCTTTCATCTTTATTTTTTCTTTGTTATATTTGGCAGAGCAATTTACAATTATTTTTTCATTGATATATGCAAATGAATAGTTGATATTTAAAAATTCTTCTCTGCTGGTAAAATCTTTGTTTCCATTTTAAGGCAGTTTGTTTAGGTATCTGCTGGGCATTGTGGCATTTGTCTGTAATCCTGGCAACTCCAGAGGAGGAGGCAGGAAAATTGCAAGTTTGATGCCAGCCTCACCAACTTAGTGAGGCCCTACACAACTTGATGAGACCCTGTCTCAAAATAACAAATGAAAAAGAGCTGGGGATACAGCTCTGTGTCAAAGTATCCCTGGCTTCAATCCCCAGTACTAAAACAATAACTAAATAAAAAGTGCCTGCATTGTTCCCTTGATGTTTTTTAAGGAAAATTTCACCACTGACTAGAGTAGATTAGTGCCTTGGCATTACGTAGTTAAAAAATTTTAAAAAAGGAAGTAATTGCAGAGCTGCTGATTATTGATTATTCAGGATTCACAAAACCTATGTTATTCTGTTGGAATACTTTTCCTTTATCAATGAAGGAGCAAGAAGTTAGCATGCCTGGGAGAAAGTGGCCAGGCTTCTGCACTCTTACCTGAAAAGACAATCACAATACTGAACGCACACTGTGCTGTGGCTTGGCTTCCTTCCCRGTGCCGGGCTGCACCATGACAACCCTGCAAACAGTAGAAATGGCCTTTCCCCTCCTCGTCCCCATTGCTTTGGTGAAGGAGTCATTTTGCTTTTCTCTGACATTTTTGTTTTGTGTTGGTTTCCCTCGACTCCTTGGGAACTTATCTGAAGGTCAACAGATTCATTCTCAAGCATGTTGCTCTGTTCGTTTTAAGACCACATTTCATAGTTGTGGGAACTGAATTGCCTGGGGAAGAAACAGCTGGAATGGCTTAGACAAGTCAGGAATGGGAAAGCCTTTGCTGGCTAGGACTTGATGTGGGCCTGGGTCAGCAGAGGCCACTGTAGACCTGGGTAGGAGGAGTCCTGTCCTGGGTCCCGTGGTTGAGGGTTCCTGCTCTGGTCCTCCAGCTGTTACCGTGTGGGGGTGGGGATTGTCTGAGAAGCCAAGGGAATGTGGCCACCTGGACCCCTGGAAATGGTCACGTCTTGTCTCTTACACTGAGGTGCCTGGAACTGAGAACTTTCCACCTTGAAGATCCCAAACTCTCTCCCAGACTTGGCCTGCCCCCAGTTCTGTGGCAGTGGTTAAGCAGAGACCATTACAGGAGGAGTAGAGGGAGGGATGGCAGAGCCCTCGGTAGTGGAGCTGTGCCCAGGTGCATGTGGGTTCTCAGGATCTTCCTTTGTAGGGCAGAGGCGAGGGGAAGATGGCCTAGCTGCCATCCTTGGCCAGCCAATTTCTCAAGATCTTAAGAGAAAACAGTGATCTACCTTTCACCTGAATTTGGATTAGGAAAGATGAATGTACAGATGTCTATTTGCAACTGTTGTGGGCTGAACACATTCCCCGTAAGGATCTATATGCCTAGCACCTGTGCCAGTTCATGTGACTTTGTCTGGAAATAGGATCTTTAAGATATACTCATATTAAGGTGAGGTCCTGCTGGAGCAGGGAGGTCCAAGTCCAGTGCCCTGTGTGTGCTCATCTTGGGGTGACAGCACAGACACAGAGGAGAGGGTGTGGGGGTCTGAGACAGGGACTGGAGGGGCCTTCTCAGCCACACAAAGCTCAGGAGTGCCAATAATTACCCGCAGCAGGGAAGGCAGCATGGGCAAGTTCTCCCTCAGAACTACCCTGCAGGAGGGACTACGCTGCTGACACCTTGATTTTGGCTTCTGGCCTTCAGAACTGTAGGAAAATAGATTTCTGCTGTTTTAAGCCACCCAGTTGGTGGTACTTTGTTATGGGAATCCAGGAAACTGATATATAAGGGGTAAATTATTTTGAAAACTGGGGTCTTTTACTGAAGCCATATTTTGGACCCTGGAATGGAGATTACCTTGGCACAATAATATAGAAATCTAATCCCCTGAGGTCTGTTGAAACTCTTATCAACTTGGAAAAAATAATAAAAATGGTCTGAAGACTATTTTCTTTTCTAAAAAAATAATATATTTACCTCCAAATAAGGGTATGTGGCCTATTATTTGATAATTTTGACAGTCAAAAATCAATTTCTATTCTATTAGCTTTACTAAATGGGGAGAAATGAATCATAGAGGTTTTTATTGGGCATGGAGTTGAGAAAGAATATGAAGGCAGTAACCTTCCCTACATCACCTGGCATTTTTGAGCAGATGCTAAAGGAAATGCTGAGAACACACTACCAGACCCAGGGTTGGCCTGAGTGGGTCCCCAGGATGCTAACTCTCTTCATGAGGGAAGGGGCCCTATAGTCAAAATAAATAAATAAATATATAAATCACATTTTCAGGACAGTGCATTGGGGGGTCTTCAGTGTACCAGCACATATCATGGTGCATACAAAATACTCTTTCCCAGAATTATTTTATCCTAGACTCTTTCACTGAGGGAGTTTCATGAAACTGGGCCTCTGTGAACTATTTGGAATAAACACCTTAGAATATTGCATCTACTAATACTTCTTTAGGTCTGTTTGAGATGAAGGAGTTTTTCTTATCCTATGTACATTTTCCTTATTCCCCTCCCATTTTAATCTTTGCTCTCTTTAAATAATTGTGATTTTTGACTCAAAAAAATGTGTTAACCTTTGATTCATCTCTGCTACCTATACTGTACCTTAAGGTCTAAGATTTTCAACCCACCATAAAAGAACTAAGTCATCTTTAACCTTGGGTCAGCAAATCATTAATATCAAACTCATTTATCTTCTAAAACATTTCTACTTTTCTTTACTGTTGACATAAGGCCCTTTCTTTGGAATGAGCCATAAGAAATATCTGATACTCAACTAACAAAGCTGGCAATACCATGTGATTCAGCCTAACACATTAGTGTTACGAAGGAGTCAGTACAGTTTCCAAGATACATAATTTACCAAAAGAGGCTTAGCCATTTCAAGAATTTGGATCAGTCCTTTTACAAATAGATTGGACTGCTGACAGGCAGGATCACTTGTGCTTACGAATGATACCAAGTTGGCCAGGACTGACAGGAATGTGTGAGGACAAACAGGAATGCAAAATGATATGATCAACTTATAGAGTCAAATTGTAGTGAGTATAACGAATTTCAAATAGGTGCTTGCAGGACTTTGTTTGCAAAACAGAAACAATTGATTTGACAAATGCAACAGAAATAAAAGTATTTACAAGGGTTGGAACATATGAAGAGAGGTTTTTAAACTCACAGCCAATCCGATTCAGGCTCTGGTGAACGTACCCAGACAGGCAGCTTCTGAGCTATCAATTCTGGCCAACCACCTGCACCTCATCCTATGGATTCTGGCTGCCACATCAAATGACTGAATGCTGGCACCAGATCAAAGATTCATTCCATGAGGTCTCTGAATTTTAGACCTTTAGACCTAGGATTATTATCTTTAGTGATATAAACATTCTCTCCCTACAACCCTGCCTAACTTCCAAGAACCAGATAGTCCCGAAAATCCCCATTCTTCCTGTAGGTCACAGAGTATTGTTCATGAGATGGCAAACACTTCTGGGCAATGGTAAAACCAGCTTCTTTATCTATCAGCCTTGACTTTGAAGTTTGTAAKTTTTTTAAGGACAAGAGCCAAGTGTAGGTGTTTTGTACTTAGGTCAGGCTAATGTGCAGTCGATAAAAACATTTGTGGGCTCCATCCAGGAGGGTTTTTAATGCAGTTTAGGATCACAGCCATATAACTGACATCACCAAAAAGCAGGATGATGGCTGGTGATGGAGATAAGTATGGACTGGTAAACTTCTATGGCAACAGAAGCTCTTATACCTTTGATTCTTGAACCAAATTTCTTCATGAAGAAGGATTTGCTTGTATGTGTAAATCTTATCCCATGGTGATATTTTATGTACCCATAAAATTTCATTTCCTTGTTTAATTCAGATAACTATAGGACTGATGTTTAATTTAATGGATCTTCATTAAACAAAGCCTCCTCATTCAGAATTTGTGGTTTTAGGCATTATGAAATACAATTAAATAAAAATATTCCTCCTAGGCTTTTTTCTCAAATTCTGTGGTACAAGGTAGATTTTTATATTTTGATTGCAAAACTTTTTGACCATGTGGTTTATTAGATTTCTGATGTATTACCCTGATTTCTCTATAAATTAATTTAAGGTTTATACAATCGTTTATCAAAGCTGATTATTGAGATAAAATTCTTATATTGCATTACACTATAGATAATAGCATTATCCTTTAGCCTCTGAGAGATATGTGTGTTTCAATTTATTATTGCTCACCCTTGAATGGATGCCACCCTTAAGAGTTTTTGTTACAATGGTAGGAAGACAGTTTGAGTCTCACTGGATGTTGTTAAATCCTCAGGCCATGGTACCTGTGACTGCGGCAAGTGCAGATGTGATGCGGGGTGGTCTGGGGATGCTTGCCAGTACCCAACCAACTGTAACCTGACAAGGAAAAAAAGCAACCAAATGTGCAAGAATTCTCAAGATGTCATCTGCTCCAATGCAGGTAAGAATTCTGTCCCTTGAAGATTCTGAAGTGAAGTAATCAAATCTTGTTTTTTTTTTTTATGGAAATTTGTAGGCATGGAGAAATGTTGAAATGGAGTGAAGCTGCTTTTGAGTATTCTTTTTAGAAGTGAAATTTAGATAAATCAATAGGGAGAAAATGTCATCTTGCTGAGACTGGCAAGTTTGGTGCTCTCCAGTTGTTTCCGGTGCCTCCTCAGAGCATGCCTTGGAGCATGGTATTCACTGCAAACCACCTCCCCACAGAATCTTATGTAAATTGGGAGCCATGATTTGGAATGCTGGATTAAATCTTATGAAAGGATTTATGTAACCAGATTTTTTTATTTATTTGCCACAGATCAAGAGTGCTTTGAATTTATACCTTAGCATCAAATAAAATCAAATGCTTTTTTTTAAGAGAGAGAGAGAGAGAGAGAGAGAGAGAGAATTTTAATATTTATTTTTTAGTTTTCGGCGGACACAACATCTTTGTTTGTATGTGGTGCTGAGGATCGAACGAACCCAGGCCGCACGCATGYCAGGCCAGCGCGCTACTGCTTGAGCCACATTCCCAGCCCCTCAAATGCATTTAATTTTATAGATGATTCAGGTAATACTGGATATGAAACACATTGAAGAATAGAACGGCAGTGAGAGTTTTTGTTTGACCAAAATATTTTTATATTGCATCAGAGTCATTTAAAACTATTTCTTAGAAGATGGCAGAGAAGGTATAAAAATTAATTAACCAAACCATGTAAAGCAAAACAGCTGCAGTTTAGTTTGGAATGGTGTTTAGCTAGTGTTACTATAATTAAATACTCTTAATATCTGGGTGTGTGGAGCCTCAAAGTTGTTTTTCCTTGACTGTGGTAGAACATGAGAATCCCAAAGGGTAAGTTATAAATGTCAGTGCCCATGTCCTTCCCCAGAGGTTCTGCTTTAGGTGCTTTGGGGTGTGGCTGGACTTCGGTGGGTTGTTARGCTCCCAGGGTGATCCTAATGCACATCCARGGAAGGGAGCCAGCGTTCTCCATGCTAAGGAGGAGGATTTGACCAGCTGAACGAATACCTTCCCTTGCTGAAGCTGGCATTCTGGTAGGGCCCTTCTGCAATCAGAGCTAGGACCTTTCCACATCTGATGGCTGCAGATTGCTTGGTAGAGAGGAAGCTGGGTAAGGGTGCTCAGCTAATAGGAATCAGGGCCACACCCAGCATGAGGTGCCAGAGGACCCATCAGGGACCAAGACAAGTGGTCTGAGCAGTCATGTCACTTCCTGTGCTMCTACTCCTCTCCCCACTTCTCAGCWCATCAGCCTTTCCTTTTCTTTCAGAGGTAGGATTTCTCTACCTCTGACTCAGAACACCCAACAATATGCACCCGTGCACACCCCTGCACACAGACAGTAGCCCCTTTTATCCTGAAAATATTCATTCTTTCAAACTTATTAATAAGGACTGGGATTCTACTTTTTAAATATATGACAGCAGAATGCATTACAATTCTTATTACATATATAGAGCACAGTTTTTCCTATCTCTGGTTGTATACATAGTATRCTCACACCAATTCGTGTCTTTATACATGTACTTTGGATAGTAATGATTATCACATTCCACCATCATTGATTACCCCATACACCCACTCTTCCCTTCCCACCCTTCTGCCATATCTAGAGTTTGTCTATTCTTCCCACACTTCCCCTCCCTACCCTACTATGAATCAGCCTCCTTATATCAGAGAAAACATTCGGCATTTGGTTTTGTGGGATTGGCTAACTTCACTTAGCATTATCTTCTCTAACTCCATCCATTTACTTGCAAATGCCATGATTTWATTCTCTTTTATTGCTGAGTAATATTCCATTGTGTRTATATGCCACATTTTTTTATCCAYTCATCTWTTGAWRGGCATCTAGRTTGGTTCCACAGTTTARCTATTGTGAATTGTGCTGCTATAAACATTGATGTGGCTGTGTCCCTGTAGTATGCTGTTTTTAAGTCCTTTAGGTATAGATCTAGGAGAGGGATAGCTGGGTCAAATGGTGGTTCCATTCCCAATTTCCAAGAAATCTTTATACTGCTTTCCATATTGGCTGCACCAATTTGCAGTCTCACCAGCAGCTTTTTAAGTTATCTGTTTTTTACTTTATTCATTATGCTTTTAAATAATCAAATTCAGGTACTAAGATGCATTATAACCATGTGAGGGCTAGTCTAGGAATCTTAATGTTCTAATATTAAGGAACGTGATTCACAATAACATATTTCAAAGGAGAAAATACACAGAACTGTTTTGATAKATGATAAACTATTTGATAAAATTAAAACATTTCTAAGATATCTATACTTGTACTTTTTTWAAAACATTGAAACAGATAATTTAAAAAGTACAGTACTTTTATCTACCTGCCTAATATCCATCGTTCAGTTTTGTCAATTGACTCAACAAAGTTCTTTATATTTCCTTCTCCTTGCAGGATCTAATCTAGGGACAATGTTATACTTAGTTCTCTTTCTTTGATCTGGACAGTTTCTATTGACTTTGGCTTTATAGCACTGACAGCCTTGAAGAAAATTGTCCGAACATCTTTTTCTTTTTTAAATAAAATGTTACTCACTTTGGGCTTGTCTGATGCCTCCTCATGATTAGATTCTTGCTATCCACTCTTAGGTGAGATACCAGATAGATGGTTTTGTGCTTTTAGGATGTTTCATTTAAAGCCGGTGATGTCCACCTTCTGGGATTGTGGGGGATCACTTCTGACCAAAGYGTCCAGGTGATGTCTGATGTCACGCCCTGTTATTACTGACTTTATCACTGATTTACCCATTTTACAAGTCACCCAGCTATGGGGARAAACTTTGAAAGCAAGCAAATACCCCAATCCTCATTAAAATTAAGACTCTCTCTTATGGAGAGTTATGAGGATGATTGAAAAATGATAATTTCTGAAATACAAATTCAATATTTACCAATTGATACCCAAYATTCTTCCACAAATGGCCACCTTCCCTTATTTGCCTGTTATTCAGTATTTTATTTACATGGAATTTATTAGCAGTCTGGAATCACAACTCCTGTGATTTCAATGGTTTGTCAGTCACTTTTATATACAATTRCTCTGTGCACAGATTGTCGCAGATTAGATATTTAAACCTTCTCAGGCTAGATTTTGTGTTCTTGGGATCTGACTCRGTTGTTTTTGTTTCATTTTGTTTTGCTTCTACTAATATGTTATTTTTACTTTTTTGTGTATACAAAGAACTGTGGTTCTTTTTAAAAAATATTTTTTATTTTGTAAAAAAGTTGAACCCAATACCTTAGTTTTATTTATTTATTTTTATRTGGTGCTGAGGATTGAACCCAGGGCCTTGAACGTGCAAGGTGAGWGCTCTACYGCTGAGCCMCAACCCCAGCCCTGTGGTTCTTTTTCAATGAATAAAAATGTTGAAAGAAAAATTTGTGATCCCTAAGGAAGTTTATTCATATTGGGGTGTGTTTTTCTTGGCCATTTCTTTAATGAACAAAAAGGTAGATTGAGGCACAATATAATTTTGGAATTTATTTGCTCAAAGAATGATTCATTATTTGGGCATCTCCAAAACAGAGGTGGTTCAGAAGCTGCACTGAGAGAATGCAAATGGAAGGCTTTGACCAAAATACAAGTAAAGCAAATGAAATATTTAATTGGTTACAGTTGTAAATTTTCCTTTTTGGTCAATCCCATTGGAAGATGGTTGTATAAGGATGATAAGTTTTCTGTTTGCTTCTGAGTGGTTGAGGTCACATTCTGTTTTTACTCTTTTTTTTTCCAATGTTGGGATTTATAAGAAATATCTCAATACACATTATGTATTTCCTTTTGTAGAGATAAATACATATATTAATGTTTATTTTAATTTTTTCCCATATACAAGATAAGTTGCACACATTTTTACCAATCAAGAAAGGTTAAGGTCACTCATGAGACCTAACTGATTTTACCTGCTCAGGGATCAGGGATTCTTAAGACCTGTTCTCTAATTTACATTAACGCTACTAAATACATGCAGGTACATACACATGCATACATGCATGAATTTCCATTCATATACCTACAGGCATAGAAGCACACGTGTGTATGTGTGTAAGAAATAATGATTTTACACCAATATATTCAATTCCAGTCCACCCCCATGGGTAATTTCTTGCTTTCCCCATTCCTTATTTTCATATACCAAAATTCATATCTCATTTTTTCAATCCTATGCTTCATCYCCAATTGTTTGCAGAATTGCTTCATATGCACAACAATACAAATCTACCAAAAAATACCAAGATTTGTTTCCCATATACCCCCTCCCCACCCTCATTTAGCCCTAATCGTGCCTAAGATTAGAGTATGTCATCAAACACTGCATTCATAAGTTACTTGGATTCCTTTTATTTTCTCCTCATTAGTGTGGTTGTGATAATAAATTGAAGTACAATTGAGCATCTTTAGTTTATATTGTTTTCAGTTTTAGTTTTTTCCCCTTCCTTCCCTTTGTTCATTAATATAGTTATTTTTTGTAATGCACAGAACACAGAGCACATTTCCAGAAGTCACATGTATGCAGAAGAGTCCTCAGAGAATCATCACACTTCTCTAAAGCTTTCTACCTTACTCTCAGCATCCTGGGGAAACAGCTTCATTGCTTTCTGCTTTACCTGCACAGTGTTTCTTTTTTTAGCAGTAAATAGATATATGGATATATCATTATGTTTTTCTTTTTTTTCCCTATACAAAAGATAGCACACTATGTTTTTCTGCAATCTGCTTTTGCCATTCAACATTATATCCTGGAATTCACTATGTATCAGTTCATAGAAAATTTTCTCATTCTTTTTTCAAAACCATAGTATTGAATTGTCTGAATGTGGCATGACTTATTCAATCTCCTATGCTTTGGCATCTGGAGTTTTTGATATTTTCAAATTGCAAATAATAATGCATGGAATTGTCTGGTCCATGTATGTTTTCATATTTTTGGAGGTKCATCTTTCAGTGTAATTGATCAGGAGTGAGATTATGGGGCCAAGGAGTAAATTTATGCTCAATGTTACGTTGAACCTTTTCCTTCACACTTCCAACTCAATATATAAGTCTTTTCTGTTTAGCAATCTCATTCTCACCTGTCTGTCTTCTAATACCCACTTCCACCAGCCCAGTTCAGGCCACTTCCTACAAATTTCATTAGCCTAAAGGCTCTCTCTAGTAATCTTTCTGTTTCATATTTTAATGTGGTCCTCTACAAGTAGCTTGGAGCAGCAGGGAAAGAGGAAATAAATGGGTTGGGCATAAGACTGAAGAGCAGGATGAGATAGAGTTGGGGACCAAAGAGACCTACATGCTATCTCTGTGAGGAACTCATAAAGGTGGTAATGTGTAGAGCKAGGTGAGGCTCCAGCACCTTGGCACAGGGATGTGGACTGATGTTCAAGTCTGGTAAGTCATCCTAGAGACAGTCGGCTATATTAGGCTGCATGAAAAACCAGAGCTAAAATAATCTGGTATAAAGCAGGAGACCAATCCTAGAGTGAGTTAACTGGCAACCAAGAAAGAGAAGCAGCATGACACAGCCCGAACACAGGAGTCTGGCACTTTTGCCTGGGCGTCCATATGCCATGTCTTGGAGGCTCAGTTGTGAATTCTGCTGGATGGGTGAAACAGGAAGTCTCTGAGCTATTGTAAACTTCCCACACCAGCCAGGAACGGTTCGCACGTGTGGATGAGAGTGAGTCTGCTGGTAGGGGACATCGGGGAGGAGTTGCAGAATTCAGAAGCACAGGCTGTTTCTTTCCACCTTTCGGGGGTGGGAGGATGGATGTCAATAAAAAAAAAATAGACAACAGGACACCTTCTGCTTACAGAGCCCTGACCAAGTTACTCTCTGCTCCCAAGCACAGCAGACTCCTGGTATCCCAGCAGGCAATCTAAATCCCTACCCTGTAATCTTGGTCTCCACTGTTTGCCTTTAGCCTACCTTTTCCCCAGATTCAAGTCAGATTCTTTATTTCCATCCTTATTCCCTATGCTAGGCATTTCCCTCAACATCAAAAATCTGTTCTCCATCTTCACTTGTTGGAATTCTACCCATATACAGGTGCCAGCTCAAGAACTGACTCCTTCTCTCTGCCTCCCTTCTTCACAGCCAGGCTGAGGTTTATCATTTCTGCATAGCATTTGCCTCAAATCTGTTACAGATGCTTTTGTGTCATGCATCTTCTGTCTATATTCACACACACACACACACACACACACACACACCATAATGGCTTTATAGTGTATGATTATGCAAGATATATATGTGTATATCTTATCAATAATAACTTTCTTCCTGGTCTGTGGTTTATTTAATGCTATGAATCTAATTGTCTCCTACAACATTTTTGCTGATAACAACATAGGTCACCAGACAGTTTAATGACTAAATATGAGAGAGGCTGAGAAGATGAATGAATAAATATGAAATAAAAAAAGGATGGTAGAAAAAAAATAGATGAAGCAACATCATGAACTGTAACATTAGATGGTGAACATCATGCTAAGTGAAATAATGCAGACCCAGAAAGCCAAGGGTCCAATGTTTTCTCTCATGCATGGAAGCTAGACATAAAGGACAGAAAGAAATAAAAACAAAGGGGATCTTACTAAAATAGAAAGGAATCAATAGCGTAGAAAAAGATGATCAAGGCAGGGGGAGGAAGGAAGGGTATGTGAAAATACTGGGAATGAAATAACCAAATTACGCCATGTCTAAGTACAAATATACTGAAATGAATCCCATATAGGTGTGTAATAAACTATTTAAAATAGCAATAACAATTATAAGAGGGAAATAAGTAGAGCAGAGCAAGCAAATCAAGGGGAGGGGATGGAAAGGGAAGGTCCTGGGGAATGAGATAGATAAATTATGTTACATGTATGTATAAATATGGCATAATGAATCTCACTGTTATGTWTAATTATAATTYACCTCAAAATTTAAAGTCTACCTCTTTTCAAATAACTTTTATAAAAGTTAAAATAGTTTTCAGGAAATAAACACAAGAAAATGAAGTTTAATAAAAGTCAAATTCACATGCACATTCTCAAGCTAGAAAATAAACAAACTCAAATTGTGCATAATCATCATTCATAGGTACTTATGAGAGAAAAACACCTATAGATAATAGTAAATTGCAAGTGATCTGGGTCCTAGAATCACACAGAAGACATAAAAACAAGGGCATTTCAGGACCCACAAATATAAGGTGAAACTGGAGAAAGTATTTGGAATAGGAATGGTATCACGATATCTCAGTGGTATAAGAGGGGAGGGAGGACTCAAATTTCTCTGAAAGCCTCTGATGGACTATACACAGCAATGATTTGAGAAAAATGATCAGACAATATATTTGAGGAGCTAGAGCACATCTATTTGCACATCTACAATCTGAGAGAGAGAAATGAAAGTGATCTTGAAAATGCATAGCCAGAGAGGATTAACACCTGGATTCAATATACGTCTACCTTAATCTGGAGTCCATACTTTTCCAGTGCACCACATCCAGAATTGCTAATATCCTGTCGTTCAAGCCAAATAGCATCTTTGTTTCCTCCCCCTCATTCATCTCTCATACCCAATCAGCCCCCACATGCTGTGTGTTCTTTCTCCTGAAATTTCCCCAAATATGTTTACTTCTTTCTAAACTCACTGCCATTTTCCACCTGGTGTCTACCTTCTCTCCTGCAGACACATATAACTGCCTCTTAACTTCTTTTCTTATGTCCACTTTTGCCTCATTTCAGTTTATTCTCCATGTGACAACCAGAGCATCTGGTATAAATGCATACCTGGTCACATTAACCCTTCCTGAGACCACTTCTGTCACTTCTTGTTATTGGATTAAAGTCGGAATTCTTTGGCATGACCTATAAAACTTCCACCCGCTGCCCCTTTTGTTATACTTTTCACTTCATTTTGTAAACTCAAAGTTCTGTGAGTTTGTTCCTTTTATCCTCTTTTGCCCCTGAACCTTTGCTGTTGTCTCTTGCTGGAACTGAGCCTCTTCGCCACTCACTTCACTTAGCAATTTTTTAAAACAGCTCTCAGTTTTCAGCTGCTTCCTGCGGAACTCTACCTTTGACCTCCAGGTCTCAGCTAAATCCCCTTGCTATGTGTTTTTGCAGCACTTTGCACTTCTCTATTTTATCACATTGATTTCTAGCTCTGAGAAAAGGATTATGGCTGACTTGAACTGTTGGATTTCCAGAGATTAGAGTAGAATCTGATGGATGATAAAGTCTTAATTTTATATAGTTATAGCTGTGAGAACCCAATTAAACATGGAATATATATTAAAGTACACTTTTCTTAAGAAGACATCTTATCTCTGGTACCATCTGAATGCGATATTACTGTCAGTGAAATCATTCTTGGGGAATGTAATCAGATCTTCAGAATTGCATACACACATGGCTGTGGTAGACCAGATGACTCCAGTGTTTCTATCACTCTGAGCTGCTTTGAGATTCTGTGACACTCCAGGAATCTATGCCTAAGAAAACCCACTAGGTCTTATTGTCATTAAGAGCAAAGGTATAAGTTCATGCTGAGGATGTGAAATTATCAGAGGTATATATGCTTTCCATTCATGCATTGGATAAGAAATTAATTCCAAAAATATTATTATGTAAATAGCGTGCTCAAACATTATGCAAAGCATTGAATAAATCCTGGTGAGAAAGATAAGCAAAGTTACTTTCCTCACAATACTTCAAATTTTCTGCTTTACTTCACTTCGGACCCAGGTGTAATCAGCAGATATTCATTTATGTGTCAATTGAAGGGACAAGCTCTGCACTGAAGAGGTCAAATTCTATTCATTAAACTATTAGAGGTCAATAATAAGAGCTGCATAATATAAAATATAATGCTGTGCCAGGGCAATCTCAAAAAGGAATAGCTTATTCTCTACCTCATTGTACCCACAGAAATGCATAACTGGAATACTGAATTGATCTGAATTGTGTATTCACCGGAAAGAAACAAGACAAGAACTTTATTAGCTGTAACTTATGTGCACATAATAAACAATCTTTCTTTGTTTTAATGGTTTAGGTACATGTCACTGTGGCAGGTGTAAATGTGACGATTCAGATGGAAATGGACTCGTTTACGGTAAATTCTGTGAGTGTGATGACAGAGAATGCATAGATGATGAGACAGAAGAGATATGTGGAGGTACGTATATTAACTGTAGAAATTCATTGAAGTACCTTTACCATACTTTTTTCTCCACACATGTTTCTGCTCCGGTGTGCTATTTGAATTTGAACCTGCTTATTTGGGAAATACAGAAGGGAGTTAGCCTAAAGCACTTGGAGTGGCTAGTGCTTTTTCAGTGTGAAACTTGATTGTCCCTGGAGGAGAATCACATCATTATGGTAGCGCACCTCTGCAGAGCTCTGAAGTAGTTTAAATGGAACGTCATCTTTCCCCTTTTCACCTTAGCTGCTCTTCTTCTCTTTAATCCTATCTCTTGACTTTATATTTTAATTTCATTCTGTTTTTAAATCATAAACCTTCAGAGTTTTGTGTCCTGCTGAGTAAATGGCAGTTCACTAGGCTATCTACCTCCCATAGCCAGCCCCATATCTGCTTAGATAACTCTTCTACAAACTTTTCTACAACCATCATTATTCAAGCTGTTTTCCTATTGCACTAATTCTTGTAGGTTTCCTAGTGCTAGGACTGCAACAGATGCTTCAAACTCATAATGTCCTATCTCACAGCATCACTCTAGAGTAAGAGTTACGTCTAACCACAGGGACAGATGTGGAAACTGGGCGTTGGATAAATTGGACAGTTTACCCACAGTCATTCCCCCATTCCTGGTAGAATTTAGACTCCTGTCTGACCGACTCTGAAAAGAATGGTCTTGACCATTCAGCACAGCCTCACACCTGGGAGTCTGCAGCTCATGGGAAGAGCCTCCTTCTCCCATCCTTCCACCCACAAGTTGGGCCCAGATGTCTCACATGCAATCTTGACTGGCACAAGAGTGAAGCAGAGAGCAGCAAGAATCACTTCAGAGAGGCAAATCCCTCTCTCCTGTTGTGAAACTTGTATGTCACTCACGCCCATCAGGATTGCAGTCCATGGAGTCTTGTCTTGTATGTGGAAAAGGTGGTTTCAGAGAGTGTTTCCCTGGGAGAATCAGGATCCAACAGGGCCAGCATGTGGCAAGCTGTCCCTTTGTCCCCTTGCATTGCTTTTGTTCCCACGGTAGCTTCCTCCAGATATTCTTGCTTTAGCTTTGTTCGGTCCTTCTTCCTGGTCTCCTGGCTGCACAACCCACCGGTATAAAAACAAACAAACAAACAAACAACAACAACAACAACAAAAAAAAACAAAATCTTCAATTTATTTTTCTAAGTCAGTGACCTAATCTAGATGCCTCTCAGGAAATTCCCCTAAAGGGTTCAGTTCAAAATAACTAGAAAAGCTAGATGAGTCTTCCCACAAATATTATGGATTTGTCATCTTGGTATTTGATTTCCAATTACTACAGATGAAAAAATAAGAAAGGAGTGTGTGYTTCAGGGCCAAGGTGTCCCAACAAACATCACCAAAGCCTGGTCCATCTGCATGTGGAAATACACAAATTTAACTTGAAACAGCACAACAGGAAGTGTTCAACTTCATTCTCTCTTCTTGTCATTTTCACTTTTGGGGCTTAGGCAATTTTCTGGGAAGTTTCTGTCCACAGATACCAGAACCTAGTAAAGAGCCTCTGCGGGTGACATTGTCTAGGATGGTAGGTCTTTCCATGTTGTTGTCATTCAAATGAAACCAATCTGTTGAAAGATGATTCTATAGTCTATCCGTGAAGCACTATATAAAGAGATTTTCTTGCTCTATCAGTTTACACAATGCAGAGTTATGTTTATGGCACAGAATATATGTTGTCCTGAAGCTTACCTTTTATATCAGTTGTCACAGTGTGTATTGTTACAGTGTTTTCATTTGACTTATATGAACCTCTGTTTAAGTTTTTTCTATCTCAGACAGGTGTAGCTTTACATAATTTTTGTTTTCTTATTCACCCTTAACACCATGATTTCTTAATAGAACCCTAATTCAGAACTGAATTTCATAAATATATAAAGAATGTGGGTGTAAATTAATTATCTTTATGATTATTTGTTAGTAGTATGGTTATCCTTAATATGTATATATAATATATATATATATATATTACATAAATATTTTAAGTATATACACACATAATATACATATATATTACCATATGTGAAAATTTCATGACATTAAACAGCTAGTAATTTCTATAATCCTAAGAAGTTGATGGAATTTTGTAAAACTTGATTCATAAGAAGAAAAGTGAATTCAATCATGCTTTTTTGTAGTATCTCCTCAAGTTCCTGAGGTTTGTGATATAGCAATAAGTGCAATTTCATTGTGTATGCACATAGATATCTCTGTTAATAAATAAAATGTATAAACACTATGTTTTATTGCTGCTTAAATCATTTAGTATTCTTTGCATTTGTTTAAGGGATCAAATTAAATCACAAATTGTGTTATAGAAACGACCATTGTCTATGGGTTTAGGAGGTTTCTATGGATACTTCAACATACTCATTTAGATAAGAAACGACATTACTCTTAAGTCCTTTCTTCTCTGTATTCCTGGAGTGCTTTTCCTCTTCATCACTCTTTCTCTGTCTCTTGAATGCACATCTGTTAGATGGAAGTGTTAAACACCATTTGGTAAACACCAGTGGTACTGGAGACTAGAATATTCTGTGTTTTCCACTTTTTATGGGAGTTTCATAGGCCCTACTAATGCTTTTGTTATTGACTAGAGATGCCATATGTTAGAATGAAAAATATGCTTTGAAGAGGTTGAAAAATTGCTCCACAGTCAGTTTTCCACGGGTCCTCTGTCATTTTGGCTCTAGGAGAAGAAAGTTGGAGGAACAAAAACTTTTTCCATAGACAGGTAAATACAAACTCTTCTAACATAGAAGGAATAGACTAAGAAACAAAACATGAATAAGAACGCTCATTCATACTGGAATGGCATACCCACAAAGAAGAGAGGGTGCCAGAAGGGATTTGGGGATGAATGGTATCTTTGGGAAGYGTAGAGGCTGGCTGGACATGGAGGGGGAATGACCAAGTCGTTCATTGTGGATTGTGGGTGGGTGAGCAGCACAGTGAGCGGGTAAGAGGTTATAGAGAGGTGGGAGCTGAACCAGTGGTCCCTGCACCCAAGATGACAGGTATCCCCAACTGTCATTTGTGCCTCCTTRACACAGGGTAGGAATTTGATTGTGAGAATGAGAGCCCACAGTACTTTATTGGTCTGAATCAGGACTCARCGCTGACTTAGCTGGAAACCTTTTTTCCATGTGGTCAAACACAACAGCTCGTGCGACACAGTTGAATGGAAAGATGAAATATTTCTTCTGGCTTCAAAATGGTTCAGCCATTAATAATGTTTATCTAAGTAAATATATGCCATTGTTTTCCCAGTAGTGGATCTCAAATAAACTAATGTAACAACTAATTCAAGAAATGCCCTTAGAGTGGATGTGTGTATTCATTGGCGTTTGATGCATGCATCTGAGATGGCAAAGTAATAGATTCTCATAGTCATTCACATCATTTCTTTAGAAATACTTTTTGGTTTGGTCTGCTGTCTGTGTAGGTCAAGCTAAAAGACACACTAGCTTACTCTATTCACATAGTTATGCTGGGATAAGTGTAATCATGATGTTTTGAAGGAAAATATATAATCTGATTATTTTAAGTAAGGAATGTGGGGTTCATATTATTTTAAAAGGCAAAAATGATCGGGAAGACGTGGAAAGCTAATACTGCTTTGAAAAGTTGCTTTTTTTCCTCACTGTATAAAATTCTTTTGGGTACAGGCCATGGGAAGTGTTACTGTGGAAACTGTTACTGCGAGGCTGGTTGGCATGGAGACAAATGCGAATTCCAGTGCGACATCCCCCCCTGGGAAAGCAAGCRAAGATGCACAGCTCCTGATGGCAGAGTCTGCAGTAACAGAGGTGTGTCATCGTAAACGCTACTACATCATCGGGAGGCCAACAGAGCTCTTAATTGTTACCACKGCTCTCTATTTCCTTCAGTGTGGGAGGGACGTGTCTTTTATGTCATTTACTTCGATGTAAATCAGTGCTTACCAACAATCTCCTCTTTCTTGTTCTTTACTGAGCAGAAAACAGCAAGATAAGAAAGTTGCTGTCATTCTTTAAGCTTCACTGAACAAACAGTTGACATAGGGACAGTAATTTCTTTGGCGGACAYCCAGAAATAGCACAGTACAGCTAAAAGGCAATTCTTGTAGATACTTCTGCTAAATGTCTCTTGACTAAMAGAACCATCGGCAGTATGAGCATCTAATTATCCAGAGAGCATTCAGAAAACCCTCTCCTCTTAATTATGAGTAAATCCACGTCTTGGCTAAAATGTAGAATTGATGTAGATGAATTTAACTTCTGTMTGCCATAATAGGAACATGATATTGAAACTATTCATCAAATAGCCCTTTGAAATTTAAACTTGATCTTAAGCAGGAATTWAAAAAAAAATTTGTTCACACTGATAAAATATAAACTACAGTTACTTAATAGTTGACGTAAAATCAAATTTGTTAGACAGTTTTTAAAATCTTTGTTATTTTTCCCTTTGAGGTAGATAAAAGAGGGCCACACTGGACCATTGCCTATCTTGAGGCATAAATAATGGCTGTGTTTCMTTCTATAAAATGATAGAATTCTAGAAAACGAGAAAACTATTATTTTCATTTTCATCAACAAATTTTTTGTTGTAATAGGTCATGCTTACATGGAAAGCTTTAAAAACTGAGAAAAGAGTTCCATGTGCCAAAGTTCTGTAATAGAAAGAGGAAATCAAAAATCCTAAACTCAGAGCACAACCTCACAGAGTCCTCTCTTTATGTGACGAGATCTTGGTGTATGTCATACTAATTCGCTCTGTGCTTCTTTTCATGTACAGGGACATATTTTCTGCTCAATTCCTTTTGGTCTGATAGGGTGCTTAGGCCCCATGTTGTCAGTGTGTGAAGGCTGAGCTGTGCTGCTGTGGAATGGGACTGCTCAGATGTTGAACCAGGAGAGGCAGGAGCGAGGTGGGCTGGGCTGTGGTTAGGGTCAGGCTCTGCCACAGAGCTGTGTGGGCTCTGAGTGGCAGATGACCCTTGGAAATGCCCACTAGGCCACCTCTCCATGGTACTGCCTGCAGCCTGCCTGAGTGAGGCTCCTAGCTCAGGAGGCTCAGGGGACTGGAAGGCAGAGCACTGAGTTGGGCCTTTTCTCTCAGAAGGCACGCTCCTGTCTGCTCTGGCACATTTTCTTATCACCGCCTCSCTAGGGACAAGAGAGACACTGGCCCCTGGTTACACTCGCCTTGGGTTGATTTTTAGCCCAACACCAGKTTGCAGGCACAGCCACCTGGTGATGGGAAATGTTCTTGGTCGTCCACCTGGTGCACTCTCAGTCTCATKCGAGGCCTGAGGAGCTAGTGGCCAGTGGTCCCTGTCCTCCATCATCTAGACTGTTATAATAGTAGAACATATCCATTTTTTAAAAAGAATTCAGGTGATAGAGGATAAGGGARAAAAGGAAAATGATACATCATCTTAACATCCAGATATAGCATCCTTTTGTATTTAGATACATGACTTTTTTTGGTACTTATTTATTTAAATTATTATTAAAATTTTAATTTCAAATTCACTTGTGTGACTCCCGTGCCCTTTGTTTTAGTCAGCTTTTTCACTGCTGTGACCAAAAGATTAARAAAGAAGGATTTTAGAGGAGGAAAAGTTTATCTGGGGGCTCACAGTTTCAGAGTTCTCAGYCCATAGATGGCTGACTCCATTCTTTTGAACCTAAGGTGAAGCTGAATGTCATGATGAAAGAATGTGGCAGAGAAAAGCAGCCCAGGACATGGTCAGGAAGCACAGGGAGAGTAGGGACCCACCTCCTTCAGCCACCCACTCACTACCTGCCTACAGTTACCAGCCAGTGAGTCCCTATCAGGGATTAATGCACGGATTGGGTTAAGACTCTCATAAACCAATCACTTCACCCCTAACCTCTTGCATTGTCTCACGTGTGAGCTTTTGTGCAGACACCTCACATCAAAACCATGGCACCCTCCTAAGGAATATGACTACTTTTATCTTTCTTCTTAGTAGACACAAGAATTGAATYATACTATCCATACCAATTTATAGTTTGATTCTATTCATTGAGTAACATATTTTGCTTCTCTTCCCATATTCATAGAGCAAAAAGCTGATTATTGCTCCTAATGAGGGCTTTGTAATCCACCGGACACACACATTGTTACCACACTCATTCTCCACTGCTGGATGCCCKGTCACTAGCATAATCACATTTCATGTTCCTGAGGTGTGCTTTTCCTTTCTGTTGGAAGTATTGATTGAAGTGGACAGTTCRATGGACAATACCCCACATCTAGAGTGCATTCCATGAAGGTGTCACCCAGAGTTGCTGCTCTGTCCTGCACTTTAGAGCGGGAGATGCCCCTTGCCCTACCCTGTACCACCCCTGGATTCTGGCAGTCCTTTCTGCCTCCACAGCCAGGCATCCAGAGTAACCCCAGCTCACCCCTGCTTTAAAGCTCTAGCCTGGCTCTTAGTAATCCTTGCTTACATTGATCCATCCATCCTTCTCTATAATATTTCCTAGGTTGTTCCTTGACTTTGCTTGTTTTACTTCAGGTATATTTAAGCTTTATGTCTTGATTCCTAAGAGATATGTTTGTGAATGCACTTATTTTTGGCATACATATGAACGTTTGTTTCAGCTTCTTTAGTGTTTTTTTTTTTTTTTGTAAGTTGTTTTGTTCCTGAACCAAAATCCAGATTTTGATGAGGTTAAATCTGTTTCTTTTTATAATTTTAGTAATTCTGCTTTGGGGGTTTGAATAAAGGATTTTTTCATATTTTTGGTTTTATTTTGTACATTTAAATCTTTCATTCAATTGTTACTTATTTTGATATAAAGAGGAGAGATGTGGGGAAAGAAATCTAACTTTATTTGCCCCCAGAGGATGAGCTGTTGCCCTAAAGATGTCTACTGAAGATCTGCACACATCCTAGTGACTSAGGTACACGTCTCACTTGGACGCCGAGCATCTTCCATGTCCTGTACTCCTCCTCCAGCAAACTGACTCCTCAGTCTTCCTTTGCGGGCGCTGTGACCCCCATGCCCACCACCACCTTCCCGCTTCCTTCAGCCTCCTCAGGTTCTCCTTCCTCTGTCCCCTGGGATGCCTCCTCCTCTGTACCTCCAGGTCTTCTGTTCCTAGTGGCTCCAGCCCACGCTGACCCCTCCCTCCTAAACTCATACACGTGTGTGTCCTGGTTGACAAATGTCAGTGCTCCTGCTCYCGCTCTTGGCTCTTTTCTTTCTCTAGCTTTCTTTTTGGCCAACAGACTGTAAGCTTCTAGAGAGAAAAGATGACTTTGTGYTAATTGTTGTGGCATTTTCTTTGAGAGAAACTAACATGGTGCTAATGACAAGTCCCTCTGTCTCATCTGATCAAAGATGATAGCAGTTGTTGTTTATTTATTAGGACTCTCTGCTACCAAATTCAGAGGGTGATTTTCCATTTTAGAACATGTTTATCTGAAGTGAGTATTTTCCAAGTAAAAAAGAGCAGCAGCATGGGAGATGCTTTCTTTCCTGGTTCTTCTCGACTGCACCTGGATAAAATTCCTTTKTCCACCCAGGGACTTGCGTGTGTGGTGAATGTTCTTGCCATGATGTCGATCCAACCGGGGACTGGGGAGACATTCACGGGGACACCTGTGAGTGTGACGAAAGGGACTGCAGAGCTGTCTATGACCGGTATTCCGATGACTTCTGTTCAGGTAAGGGCTCCTCTYGTTCCTATCTTTACATAAAAAGGCCGTTCACTCTTTTCCAGATTGATTCCGATTCTTGAAGACACTGTGGAAGAAATTGAATGTTTCTATAGCTCTGGGCATTTGCAGAGCTCCTACTTGTAACCTGGTAAACTCTGTAGAATTCATACATTTGGCCAAGGCTTACGATGGAAGCCCACATGCTTTCTTAAAATTAGTCTTTATTCCTTACTGAAGAGGACCATGAGCTCCAGATGCCCACTCAGTGCAACTCTGAGGACACGAGAGCAAGTTCGTGAACAGGATAGTTGTTATCAGGACACCACATTAGCATATTACAAACCTTAGGATAATACAGTGTCGGGGATATTTCTTTGCACCAACTCTTTGATAGGATTTTTACACCATTATCCTGTAATATAGGCTAGAGTTGAATATCAATAAATGGATTCAAAAATCTTATACCATAAATATTAATGGAGCAGATATTATTTGCCAGGGACTGGGCAACATCTGGACTGTTGGTTCCATCAATAAAAGAAACCAATATGATCCTTCATTTGATGGATGTCATGATCTAAATGCCAAGAAAAAAAACACAGCTGAAGAGCTAATGGTAAACTGAATAACATCAATAAAAAGGCAGTCAGAGCTATCTGAAACAGTGTCACTTAGCAAAAAACAAAAATGCAGTTACAGATTTTCAGTCCAGTTATGTTTGACGATCCAGAGGGCAGAGGCATCTGCATATWCATTTATTTCTAAGCCCGACAGACTGGTGGGTGCATGGAGATAGATAGAAAGCTGCTCTGATCTGAAAGTCTGCCAGCAAAGGGAGATAAAAGTGCTGCCCTGTGCAATCACCATTATGTAACCTCAAAGGCCGGGAAAGCCCGCCGCTTAAACTTACCACTGCAGAAGGATTTCCCTCCTCGATGATTCCTTGCTCCAGAGCATTTGCTAAATATTTTTGGAACACTATTTTCTGTTTTTACCCCTCTTATCCATTATATAGATAAGTATTCTTCATTATCATCATATCAACACAACAGTAATAAAATGGCTAGCAACTATTGAATGGCTTCTACCTGCCCAACACATATTGAGGGGCTGCTGTCATTTTAGTTAGGGTGAGGTGGCTCTTCACAGAGGTGGTGATGCAGGCGAGGCTCCTGCATTGTTGGATGCTATTGGGTCACACACATGTGGGGCTTTGCCTTGAAAGGTGGGTTTGCAAGTAATGAAATATGAGAAGGGCATCCTAGGCAGGAGGAATGGAGGGSTGTGAGCTGTGCCTGGCATTACAATGGGTTTGAAATGAACAGAATGAACTAGGAAGGGAAGGGATGGTCAAAGTAAAGGTAGTGAGTGAGGAATAACAAGGGGGCAACTTTTTACTGTGCTGAAGAACCAGGCTCTATAATAAAGGCGACGGGGAGCTAGTGATGATTTAGGCAGACAGGTGCTATGTCCTATTTCTCGTGTGGTTGTCTGGGTATACCATTTACTAAAAGTGGGGACCATAGAGGAAGTTACCAAGTTTGTGCTCAGACATCATGAGCATAGAAGATCATTGGCAAGCCAAATGTAGATTTTTTTCAGTTTAAATTAAGAAAATAAAKGGAACAATAAATCAGGCTGTATATTACACTTACATTTGTAATTTGCTGATTTGGCACCCCCACCCCTTAAACCTGAATATACTCTCCTTGTTAAATCTGCATTCCTAACCTTGATTCTGACTTTCAAGTGGTGTTGACAGATTCATTACAGTGACCTTCAGGGTCCTGTGAGCTGGTCTGTGTCACCATGAGGACAAAATGAGGAATGGCACTCAGTTGACACTTGCGTCTCTTCGTAAGCTAACTGCTCCTGTGCCTTATCCAGGCTCAGAGCTGCTGTGGTTGAGCAGGTGTCTCCATGGTGGGCTCACTGGAATCTAATTTCCCACTTCACGTCTCCCCCTTCTCCCACTTCCACTCTGTTTTCCTCTCCCTGAATTTTGCTTTCTTTCCTAGCTTGTGAGGATCCTGGGGAAGTTTGGCAGTTGGGCACTTGTGGCTGCATGGCTGGTGGGGTTGATCAGGAAAGCCCCGGAAAGAAGACTTCACCCTACCCGCCCAACCCCCTCCCGGGATTGAACCCAGGGCACTGACCACTGAGCCACATCCCCAGCCTTATTTTGTATTTTATTTTGAGACAGGGTCTCACTGAGTTGCTTTGTGCTTCACTTTTGCTGAGGCTGGCTTTGAACTCTGGATCCTCCTGCCTCAGCWTTCTGAGCTGCTGGGATTACAGGCATGGGCCACTGTGCCTGGCTGACTTCATCCTTTTCTATGTGGCCTCTGTGCCACGGGTGTGGACAGGCAGAGATGGAGAAGTGTCTGGCCATCAGCTGCAGTTTGAGCTACTARGAGACYTCAGTCTGTAATTGTGATCTTATCWTTCTTTGATTGAAGTGAGACAAGTGTGTCCAGTCCTCCAGAGTGTGGCTCCCAGATTTAGAGTATGGAATCAAAGAAATAAGAAGCTCACAGTAACAGAGATCTCACTGTTAGACTCTTACAGAGCTCTCCGTACAAAATAATTTCATTGTATTTTTGCACTAACTCTGGGAGAAAGACACTCTTATCTGCATTTTAACAGAAGAGGAAATCATTCCAGAGAAATTAAATACCTTGATGAGGTTCACATTGCCATCRAGTGTCATCTGAAAACAGGTACAGCCTAAGTCATTATGTAGTTAATCTCCAGGTGATGAAACAAAGTTCTTTTACTTTATTTTGGAAATAAATTACTTTGTGAGAACTATCCTCTGGATGCCCAAATTCCTATAGAGCTAAGCTTTTCTGGACATCATGATGATCTGGGGAGGTATCARTCTCTGGGGTATTTCCTCATTCTTAATAAATCTGTAGAATTCTATGTATTATGCTTCGAGAGTTACCAGACTTTACAATTTTCCTAATTATCAGTCTAAGTTGCACGGTAGGACGGGTACCATGCAGTTGATTATTGAGTATGTTAATATCTTTGTATTATGAGACAGAAGTAATTCAGCTACATCAATATTCTCTAGTGATTCTCACAGGCTGGGATGAAATAGGGCCCAGATGAAATGMAGTTTTATTTTTAGCTGCCATTCTTGCCGTCCTGTGAATATTGGTTTTATTTAAGTCCAAGGGAAATCTCTGGGTGGATTAGTTTAAGTTGAGACTTTTAATTGACATTCTCATTTTCTTCATTCACGCTCACTCTGTCCATTCATTAATTAATAATTCACGCAGATGTGAATATACCCAGGGCTTCATTGGTGTGGGGTCAGACAGGATGCAGCACACTTCCTGCCCCCTAATTAGTCCTTTTTCTTTCCCTTTGTTTTCATTCCTCTTGTTTGTCATCCACTTGGTATTTGTGTGTGTTTGTCCATTCACCTGCATGCAATCATGACTTACACACACACACACACACACACACACACACACACACACTGCAGTGACCAGCCATGGCTTGATGGACTGACTGTTCTGTTTGTTATGCTCAATTTGCATCCTGATTCTGAAATAAATCCTGAATCTCTGCTGGTGCTTTATTGCTCTGGTTTATTACCCCAAATCCTATAATTGGAAAAATACACTATAGTGTGATCTAAAACTTTATCTCTCAAATTCTCTTGCCTGCAAAAATGATGGGTATGTGAGAAGAATCTTGGCTTAGGGTTGCATAGTTTGGAAAATAGATTCATTTGATAGAAGTGTATTATGTGGGGAAATTCATCATTGTGGATTAACACAGCACTGAGGAAAGAAACTGATAGAAATGATTAGGTATATTCAGAGTGTGTTGTCTTGACAGGAAAATCAATACATTGAATAGAATTTTWAAAAATAGCAAAAGTACTAGTTAGGTCTAATTTATTCCCTGAAGCTTTTCCCTATTGATGGCCAGCATGTTTTTTTTTTTTTTAAGCACTTCCTTGTAAACATTATATATGTATTCATGGCTATATTATTTTTATTATTTAAAAAGAAAGAAAGATATTCTGCAGCAGAAAGGGTTTGTTCAGAGTAGAATCAGCTGAATTTGTCCTGGGCTGATATTTCAAAATCATAAAAGCATAATAGTTATAAATAAAAACTGCAGTTTRTTGTCAACACCCTTCTTAGGGTAGCCTGAGAGCAAGTCTAGCTGCTGTCATCTCAGGCCAGGGTGCCACCTGATGACGGTCATGCTGTGAACCCTAGTGTCCAGGAAGTGTAGATTACAGCCCTGTAACCACGTTGGCAGTCAGCAATTCCTGCCAAATTGAGCACTGGATTCCCTTTCACTGGTGTGTGTGTGTGTGTGTGTGTGTGTGTGTGTGTGTGAGAGAGAGAGAGAGAGAGAGAGAGAGAGAGAGAGAGAGAGAGAGAGAACACACACATGCATGTAGGTCCTTGGAAAGTGGGTCTCTTATTTAAATCATTCTGATGTTTGTGATCAGGGATAAACAAAATCAGTCTCTTATCTTTCATCTCCATTTTGTTGATCCTCTGCCTACACAGCTTAAAGAATACTTGTTGGAAGTGGTGAAATTAACTCCTCCTGGCTTAACAATCACAAAGATTTGACAAACACGCATGGAAGCATTACATCCCAAATCAATGTGGTAAAATTTCCTTTGGCTGGTTCTGTTCATTTGAAAGATAAATTGAGATGAGACCCAAAGAGGATAGTGGCAAAGCTAAATCAAGGACAAAAATCTGCTAATTTCTTCTTTTTTGCTGTTCTGATTATTTGTTTATAAACGCCCCGGATGTAACATGCTAGGGCAATGTGAAGGGTTTTCATGCTGAATACATYTTATCATGTCTAAACTCTTCTCTATCAAAACCAAGCATTTTCACCTTCCTGATTTTACTCCTACCAAATGTTTCCCAGCTCTCTCTTTGGAAGACCTTTTATATTGAAATTGGAACTAGTAATTCCAGAAGATAAATTGCTATGTCACGATTTCCTGTCTTCTC